AACAAAAACTTTTATTTTGGATGCAATTAATCACGATTAATCGTTTCACAGCACTACATTATATTATATTATTTTACTTTATAATAAAAAAATACTGTGATTTTTACATTTTCTGCCAAAAATAAAAAATGTAAGTGCTGTTTGTGCAAAACAATATTAGTGTTGCTAGTGTGTTCTGGCTGATTTCTAAGTGAATCATTTTCATGATTACTTTCCAAGGCAAAATAACAGTAAAGCCCTATTCACACCAAGAATGATAACTATAAATATAACGTTATTAGCATCTACACCAGCGAACGATATCGTCTGTTTATTCGAAGTGCACGCTCATCTGCCGCTTTAAATTTTCCAGCTTGTTATGGCAGGATTGATTCTGATTGGGTGTCAATGTTTGTATCGTTCATCAGCTGGAAAAAATCGTTCTGGAAGTGATTCCAACGATATCGTTTCTCTGTGCCTTTATCTAGCTGGCCAATCACAGCACACCTCGCGTTTCACCTTAAACCGCCTTAAACCTTAAACCGCATAAACACATTTCATTACACCAAATACACAAAAGAATGTTCTTTTTTAGCAACGTCATATGACCCCTTTAAATGTTTTTGAAATAACGTCTCTTATACTCAACAGAGTTGCGTTTATTTGCTATAAAATACAGTAAAAATTCGAAATATTTTGAAATATTATCATAATTTAAAATAGCTGTTTTCTATGTGAATATATTTTAAAATGTAATTTATTCCTGTGATCAAAGCTGAATTTTCAGCATCATTACTCCAGTCTTCAGTGTCACATGATCCTTCAGAAATCAGTATAATATGCTGATTTGCTGCTCAAGAGACATTTCTTATTCTGCTTAATATTTTTTGTGGTATGTTATTCAGGATTAATTTGATGAATATTAAGTTCAAAAGAACAGCATTTATTTGAAACAGAAATATTTTGTAACATTATAAATGCCTTTACTGTAATTTTTTATTAATTCAGCTAATCTTTGCTGAATAAAAGTATTAATTTCTTAAAAAAAAAAAAAATCTTATTGCCTCCAAACCTTTGAATAGTATAGTGTGTTCAGTATATTTATCACAATTAGTAATACAAGTAATTGATACTTCATATTTTCATATTCATATTTTATTAAGTGTGTTTATGCCTGATTTCACACCATTATATTATATTATATTATATTGTATTGCTGTGTTTCTCAACCCTGGTCCTGAGCGCCCCCCAACACTGCACATTTTGTATGTCTCCCTTATCTGACACCCATTTCAGGTCCTGGAGTTTCTTTTAATGAGCTAATGAGTTGAATCAGGTGTGTTTGATTAGGGAGACACACAAAATGTGCAGTTCTGGGGGGCGCCCAGGACCAGGGTTGAGAAACACTGTTGTATTGTATTATATTAGTGCTGTCAAACGATTAATCGCATCCAAAATAAAAGTTTTTGTTTACATAATATATGTATGTGTGCTGGGTATATTTATTATGTATATATAAATACACACACATGCATGTATATATTTCAGAAAAATATGTTATTTTTATATATTAAATATATTTATATATAATATAAATTATATGAATATAATTAAAGACATGTAAATACATGTAAATATTTTAAAAATATATACTGTATGTGTGTATTTATATAGACACATAATAAATATACACAGAACACACACATATATTATGCAAACAAAAACTTTTATTTTGGATGCAATTAATCACGATTAATCGTTTCACAGCACTACATTATATTATATTATTTTACTTTATAATAAAAAAATACTGTGATTTTTACATTTTCTGCCAAAAATAAAAAATGTAAGTGCTGTTTGTGCAAAACAATATTAGTGTTGCTAGTGTGTTCTGGCTGATTTCTAAGTGAATCATTTTCATGATTACTTTCCAAGGCAAAATAACAGTAAAGCCCTATTCACACCAAGAATGATAACTATAAATATAACGTTATTAGCATCTACACCAGCGAACGATATCGTCTGTTTATTCGAAGTGCACGCTCATCTGCCGCTTTAAATTTTCCAGCTTGTTATGGCAGGATTGATTCTGATTGGGTGTCAATGTTTGTATCGTTCATCAGCTGGAAAAAATCGTTCTGGAAGTGATTCCACCGATATCGTTTCTCTGTGCCTTTATCGTTACAGCTGTGGTGTGGACTCTGCTATTCTTTAATATTCAGAACGATTTTTAGAACTACATCTTTATCATTATCTTTATAGTTATCGTCCTTGGTGTGAACGGACCTTAACACTGATGTTTTCTTAGCAAACCACCAATTATTGGTCTATAACAGCAGTTCCCTGATCACAATATAATATTATATTCATGATAAACTGCGTCTTTTTGACAGGCACTAGGTGTCTGCAGTTCCTTTGTTGTCAACCTGTAACAACGGTTTGGAAACTACTTTGCTTTGCAAAAGCATCTGAGACAGGAAACCAAAAGTCATGCAAGTGCAACTTCTGAAAGACCCCAAGAAACAGAGAAAGACAAGCTGGGAGTGACAAAAACGAGACCCAACCAGGCTTACAGGATCACTGCCCTTTCAACCTTTAGTGAGTTCAGTCTTTTACAAGGTGACAAACGCTGTCGACTACGTCTCTGAGAGGAAGAAAACAAGAAAGAAAGAAAGAAAGAAGTAGCCATCTCACCGGTAGCCCTTTATATATGACAGGGGGCGACTGCCAGGATACACTAATCCTATCCTCACTGTGAGGCGCATCAGAGGGCATGCTGGGAATGCTGACAGGGGTTGTAGCCTGAAAAACATAGTGTGTGTAAGAAGCGGTGTTAGCAAAGCCAGCAGAGAGAGAAAGAGAAAACACTGTTAAGTACAACCGCAACCCACCGAGATCCAAGAAGAGCTGCCTCAAAGACAAGCCAGTGTCCTCAGTCACATTAGAAATGGTTAAAAAGAGACTGTCTGAGCAGCAGAGGGCAGATCTGGCTCCTGAAATCACGGCCTTAGCTGACCTCGTCACCCCGACCCATAAACACTTCAACAAAATGGACCCCAGCAATTAAAGAGACATGTGTATGCAGTAGTCTGGCTTTGATATTTAACAGAACCCTCAATCTGGTGAACCCTCGGTATACATCTCTGGCCGGTTTGAACGTTTCTAGAAAGGTCATTCATTCCATTTGGGATAAAAATTCTCAAGAAACTCCAAATGTAGTCAGACTGAAAATTCTTGTTCTTCAGTAAAATATTTAAACATCCTTAAGCACTGGCTGTTGTCAGACAAAAATGTCACTGGATTGTTACAATTACTTGCAAAATGAATGTTTGGAAATGTAAAACTGATATTTCCTACTGACACACTACAGCAAAAGATAGAAATAACTGACTTAAAACCATTTTTAGCTGCTGAAAATACTAGTCTTCTAATCATTTTGGCCACCACTGTATATATAAATATATATAAATAAGACACTGTAGTTTCATTTTAAGACAATGAAGCCAGATTTTAGGACCATAAAGATTTTTTCAAATTTATATTATTGACAGCAATTAAGCACATTTCCTCACAAAATTGTCATTAGTGTTGCAACATATTTTATATTTTTAAAACAGTAAAGTCTTTATGTAACTTGGTAGTATTTGTTTATGCTTTAGTATATATGTGGTAGCATTTTTATGCTTTCATTTGACTTTTTTTATTATTTAAAAATCACTGTATTCCAGTATTTGTTCTGTAATCCAGAAAAATATATTTGTTATAGTAGTGAAAATCAAATAAGAATAATTGAGGATGAGAATTACAGTTAAAAAACCATTCTTAAACATATATGAAGATATTTTTAATATTCTCTTATAATTTTCCTCATTCATGGCAAGTCCACACAACCACAATTTGCATGCTTTATATATGAAATCCATTCATTATACACAATGATCATGGGTTAAACATGAGTTGAATCATATGAATTAGATTTCATTGGATTGTCTTAAAATTTAAATTTGGGTTGCATATGAATGAATGTTTTAGGGAGTGATGAGAGAATATTAAAAATATCTTATGTCTTCCAAAGATGAGGTCTTGTGGGTTTGGAACGACATGAGGGTAAATAAATAATGACAAAAGTTAAATTTTTGGGTAAACTATCCTGTTAATCCACATTATGCTAGTGAGAATGTAGGAGGAACTTCAATTAATTGTCAAATAATAATAATAATAATTGAAAATAATGTCAAATTGGCAAAATAATGCAAAAATGTCTTAAAAGGTCCTAAAATTGGATTTAGCTTCTCCACACAAAAATATAATATGTTATTTCTTTTGATTTTATAGTCAAACAAAAATGTGATTTCTGTCACCCTCAAGTTGTTCCAAACCTGTACGAGTTTCTTTCTTCTGCTGAATCCAAAAAAAACTATATTTTGAAGAATGTCGGTAACCAAATAGTTGATGGTTCCCATTGACTTCCATTTTTTTTCCCATTCTATGGAAGTCACATAAATAAATTCATACAGGTTTGGAACAACATGAACAGCAACTTAGGTTAACTGTCGCTTTAAAGGGATAGTTCACCCAAAAATGAAAATGTGATGTTTATCTGCTTACCCCCAGGGCATCCAAGATGTAGGTGACTTTGTTTCTTCAGTAGAACACAAATTATGATTTTTAAGTCCAGCCGTTGCAGTCTATCAGTCGTATAATGCATGGAGCGCGTACACACCTCACGCACCAGATGCCGTGCGCGCGCCCAAGGAAGTTGGATATAGTGGTGTATTAGAGGTAAAAAATTATATAAATACTGTTCGGTTTCTGGCACAAACCGATCGTTTCGTGTCTTAGGACATCAATGTGTCGTCACGAGCCGCAGGGTTTCATTTGGATTTGTCTGTGCATGTTTTTTTTACTCTCATAGATTTTGTTACCATTGCCATGCATTATACGACTGATAGACTGCAACGGCTGGACTTAAAAATCATAATTTGTGTTCTACTGAAGAAACAATTTCACCTACATCTTGGATGCCCTGGGGGTAAGCAGATAAACACCAAATTTTCATTTTTGGGTGAACTATCCCTTTAAGCTCTATTGACTCTGACAGAGAGAGATTTGAGTTGCATTAATAACTCAAACAGAGCCTTGCGTGGGAGATTTGAAAGAATATGATATTTCCAAAGTAAAAGCACGCACCCACACACACACACACACACACACACACACACACACACACAAAAGCATCCATGAAGACTTCATCGCTACACCTCAAACCCATAATATGATCCGTCTGCAGCCCAAACTGAACTTGTGTACTGAATAAGATGTGTAGATGCAGAGTGCTGTTACTTGGTAAGCGTGGTCAGTGCGGATATGGCACAGTGTCGACGGTGCTGATTGGCTGAGAGGGGTGTGGATCATGTGGGCGGGCTCAGATCGAGACGCATCACAAGTCAAGACGGGGAAGATGGGGGCCGGGCCGGACGTAGTAGGTGACGTGGGCGTGAGGTTGGACAGCCCTTCCGAAAGCGTGTCCATGTTCACCTCGATTTCAGAGTAGTAGAAATCCTCCTCGCCATCGCTGTAGTCAGAATCTCCATTTCGCCTGAAAACACACAATCCTAAACTTACACAGGCCTAAGTGCACTCTTGTGTGCGGCCAGCAGGGGGCAGCTGTGCCAGCACATTAACAGAGGTTCGAGTTTATATGGCAAGGTCAGGTAGCAACAAGAGGCTATAAAAACACTCTTACTACTTCCATCAGAATGTGGTCCCCTCGTTACCTCCTGTTATGGTGCACAGAAAGGGAAGAGCTCCCTGACAGACAATCTGGGCCCTTTAGATTCATCTCCAGTCCAACAGCAATGAGTGAAACTTCTATTCGAAAGTTAACAGTATACTTCTCTTTAAAAAAAGAGAGCCGATCTGTCTCATTTCTGTGTAGAAGACTACACGTTCAAACTGCAGAATAAACGTGTGCACACCTGTCCCGGGTGTGATGTGTCTGACTGACTCTTACCCCAGGTGGAAGGTGCGGATGTGGCGCTGGATCCCTGAGGAAGTGCTGAGGACTTTTTCACAGTTCTTCCACAGACACTTAAACATCACCTTCATGGAGTTCTGGAACAAACAAACACACGATTGACACGTGAAGGACATATCAGGAACTTTGATGTTGCCATAGAATAGTGTTCAGAGAAGTTTCGATTTCAGGTTTTGGTTCAGTCAGGCCGTCTTTGGACTGTAAAGGAGGCAAATCATGAATCAGTTTTACAATGGCAGGCCTGTAAGATTTAGATTTTCGAGTATTTTATCAAGTATAAAGCTTAAAAAAATAGACAGCACACCTAAGGCTACAAACTCTGAATGTTGTCTGCATGCAAAGTGATTTGGCAAAGAAATTTGATTTCGGGGGACAAAAAAACAAAAACAGAATGCCTAAAAAAATATCAGTATAGTCCTGCCTTATTGTTATAAATATAAAACACACTTCAAAGATGAATTATGAAAGAATAATATTAGTATGTGCAAGTGTTCTAAAATATATATTTTGTAGCAATGTTATTTTAGTATTATTTATACACTTATATAGTACACTTAGTATTGATTATTTTTGAATTAGCATTTGTTTTATTTTTCATTTTATTTAACATTTTAGTAATTTTGTTGTTTCTATTTAGCTTTCATGTCTATTTTACTTCAGTTTTAGTTTTAGTAATCAATATAGTCCTGCCTTATTGCTGTAAACATAAAACCCACTTTAAAGATGAATTATGAGAATAGTAATTATTAAATGCATCTTTAAGTGTTATGAATATCTGAGATATTTGTAGCTTGTTATTTATAAAGTATTATGCTATTTATATTTTGAATTAGCATTTATTTTATATTTTGAATTTTTATTTCAATTTTGGTAATTTTTTATGTTCTTTTGTCATTTTCACTTTATTTCAGTTTTAGTCATTTTAGTACTAAAGTTGAAACTTATTTTATTTCAGCTAGCTGTCAAGGCAAAATTTCAAATTTGCATTTAAGTGTTTCATCTAATAAGTTATATTTTATTTTATTTCAGCTTTATTTAACCAAAATATTTTAATAATTTTGATTAAGATTAACAACAGTCCTGCCTTATTGCTATAAATATAAAACCCATTTTCAAGATTAATTATGAGAGAATAATAATAAAGTGCATCTTTAAGTGTTCTGAATATCTGAGATATTTTGTAGCAATGTTTTAAAAACATTTTTGTATTATTTATAAACTATTATGCTATATATATATTTTGAATGAGCATTTATTTTATATTTTTATGTTTTATTTCAATTTTAGTTAACATTTTAGTTTTTATGTTCTTTTGTCATTTTTATTAATTTTATTTATTTATTTATTTTTAAATTTATTTCAGTTTTAGTTTTAGTACTAAAGCTTAAACTTGTTTTATTTCAGTTAGTTGCCAAGGCAAAATTTCAAATTTGCATTTAAGTTTTATGTTTTTCATCTAATAGTTATATTTTATTTTATTTCAGCTTTATTTAACAAAAAAGGAAAGGAAACCCTTGAAGAGCCAAATATAATGCGCAGGGAAGTGATAGATCAAATCATGTATGGTATGAAGAGCATTGTCTATAAGGAGATCTGCTGTATTTGCAGTCAAGGCCGTGATCAGCAGTGATTCAGAGGTCTGATTGCATAAGTCTCATGTGTATGTGCAGTTAGAAATTCCCTTCAGCACTGCTGCAGTGACACAACTATTAAAACACTTCAAAACAACAGTGACACTGCCAGGTGACGGCATGCGTGTCGTGTGTGGGAGATTCACACCTGCGTGCGCTCTTCTGTCACTTTCACCAGCGCTCGTTTCCCCTCTAAATCTCATCTGTGTTTATCTAACATGCTTGATTCCGGAGTTTATAGGTGATTCAAACAATGAATCAGCCTCTCACATGCTGCAATACACTGCTTATTTACAGCCAATTCGAAAATTAACACTCGAGCGTCAAAACTGAGTACATGAAATAAAATGACTCACCAGTTACATTATTTGTGCTTGATCAAAAATAAAAACAGTAATATGAAATATTACAATTAAAAATGTTTTCTTTTTTAGTTTTTTTAATATACAGTATATTGAAAATTATTTTATATTACAGTAATATAACTGCACAGTGCACACAAAAGTGTTTTTTACGTTAAAGAAATGTATTGCTGTGATCAAAGCTGAATTTTCAGCATCATTACTCCAGTCTTCAGTGTCACATGATGCTTCAGAAATCATTCCAATATTCTGATTTGCTGCATAAAAAACAAAAAACAAAAAAATATACAGTAGGAAAAACAGCCTGTTTAATTGTACAAGGTAAAGTGTAAAAAAAAAGCTAATTTATGACCATTTTAGTGGAAGAAACCTTGAATAAACATTGTACAATATTACAATTAAAACTTTTTTTTTCTATTAGTATAGTTTTTTAATAGTAATAGTTTTTTCCCTATTCCAATATATGTTAAAATATAATTTATTCCTGTGATCAAAGCTGAATTTTCAGCATCATTACTCCAGTCTTCAGTGTCACATGATCCTTCAGAAATCATTATAATATGCTGATTTGCTGCTCAAAAAAAAAAAAAAAAAACCTTATCAATTATGAAATGTTTTTTTGTTGTTGTTTTCGATGCACAGGAAATGCAGCATTTGAAAAAGAAATCTTTTGCAACATTAATGTATTTACTGTCACTATCAATTTAATGAATCCTACTTTAATTTGTAAAAAAACAAAACATATTACTGACTTCAAACTATATGTTTCATTTATTGATTGATTGATTGATTTATTCAAAATAAATAAAGTAAAAAGTTGTATTTAGAAAAATAATAATTTAAAATAATATTTAGTAAAATGGAATGTAAAAACAATGCCATTGAGATATATTTATCGGAAGCTAGTTTTCTCAAAAGTGAAATTTGAACCCTGGTAATAGTTGATATCCTGAAGAGTGTGCGTAAATGTTTAATAGGTTACATAATGCGTCATATTCCCAGAGTTCAGACTGAGAACTCGAATAACACTCCAGAACAAACCGAGATTACATTATCATTATAATCATAAGTATCATCATTTCTTCTGATAAACCCATCCAGGAACTTAATTTGTGAGAAAAATTAGCACATTAACTCTGAAACGTGAAACGTGTCCAGACCTGTTCACTGCTCTCATCAGAGTCAATGAGTGGGTGTGTGTCTGCTCACACACATACAAAAACAAGCAAATACTCCCGCTGTTCTCAAGGCCGATGATATTAACCCTTTCACAGATCACACGAGCCTACGAAACAGAGATGATGTGACAACCATTAACCAAAACAGACTCAGAAAGCGAGCCAGATAACTGGCGGAGCGGGGCTGGAAGTGTATGTTTCCATCCATCTTTATGAATGAACAGCCAGTCCTCTTGTGTTACATTTCACCCAGCTGCTCAGCATTTGGCTTGGTTCGCTTCGAAGAACTTTGTTTCTTTTTCTCGTCTCCTTCATTCAGAGTGGTTTTTATTGGCTATTGCAGGACGTATAGGTATGCAGGGAGGCCTCTGGTGAGCTGAAATAATAGAGGAGGTAGCCAGCGCTGTTGCCTAAGACAAGCACTAGCAGTATGGGACACATCCATCTGTCTCTATACTCACACAGAAGAGCCAAAAAATGAGCCCAAATAATACTGAACATTATTTAATGCGCACCAGCGTGAAACAAACAACTCTGCAAACTATTTTTTAAACTCTTTCTTCGACATTTCGACTAAATATCTAGTTGTGTACAGCATGGCTAATGGAGTTTCTAACATAATCTGAACCGATCCTAATGGGATCAAATAAGAATGCCCTAAGGATCCTTAGGCTACGTCCACACGAAGCCAGAGCTTTCCCTATCCGATCTTTTTTTTCTCCTCGTCTCAAGAAATATCTGCGTCCACACGAAACCGACACAAAACGCTGTAGTATACATGCCAGACCAGCATGTGGCGCTGTAATTCTGCCACAGAGATACACTAAAACGGAGAAGAAGACTTGGACTATGCGCATAAACCTTGCGCGAGGTATACAAACGAACATGGAACAATACATTTATTAATCTGTGTTAATGTTAGTTAATAAAAAGACAATCGTTCAGTGTTTGTTCATGTTTTTGTGTCTGAATAGGGGCGAGACGTGGCCTGATGACATCATCGTTTCAGAAAGTATACGGATTCGCTGTCCACACGAAAATGCAAGGGCGGCGTTTTCAGATTTATCCACTCTGGGACCCGGTTTCAAAAAATATCGGTTTCACTCCCAAAACGCCGGATCCGTGTGGACGAAGCACCTATACGATACAATATTTATGCGTATACAGCTAAACGCGTAACCTTTTTTTGGTCGCGCCCCCCTTTAAACCTATAAAAAAATCTAGCGCCCCCCCCCCTTCAGACTACCAAATAATTTCACTAAACATTATGAAAAATGAATGCTTTTTTAATAATAAAGAAAAAACCTACAGGGGAAAAAACACCTGCGTCACTTGAAACATTGAAAAATAGCACAGAGAGAATAATATTATTATTCTCTTTGTTATTTTATTTTTATTTTTTTTGTGGGTTTGCTGTCCGCTAAGGCATAGGACACACAGGACTTTCCTCCTCACCAACAAAATTAACACCGTGTCTACACCAGACGCGAGTGGCAAAATACAGTAGAACCCATTATAATCAGTGATGTCTAGATGCGGCGCGGCGCAACGCAACGCGACAAATCCCCAACATTAAACGGATGCCTTGTTCTATTTATGACGTACTGACACAAAGTTAAAATGATTTGCAACGGTCACTTTGTCATGTCCAGTGTAGAGCTGTAGCGTCCAATATGGATGGTGAGTGGTGAGTGAAGCCGAGTGCAAGATATGCTTCGTCATATTTTCTGCATTTAGCTTTTGAATGACCAGCACCTGCCTGGGTCTGTGCGACTTCATCTATGGTTTTTCTCTTCCCTTTCACAAACCGATCCATCTCTCATTCTAAGTTACGTCCTTTGGCTGTTTACTGTTTTAATTCTTTTCTTTTTTCTGCTGATGGCCCACGACCCCCCTGCAATACTCG